GTTGCTGGCATGAACCAGAGGTGTGCAAAGCATGGCTACAGTGCTGGTGCGAGCAGAGTGCCTGCCTCCATGCGAGCTCAGTGCTGGAAGATTAGAATTACTTTGAAGAAGAAGAAGAGAAGCATTTATCTTTCCCTTTGTATTTTATGTGACAACCATTACCATTGGTGAGGAAAGAATCGAGTGCAGAGCTGAATGCCCGCATTCAGTGCACAAGTCCTGCTCCTGCCCTAGGAGCTCCACTTGGAGCTGCTGCTTTCTCCTTTCCCTTCTCCAGGCCCAATGAGCCCTGCCCCAGTTCTCCCCTCACTGACGCTTGCAATGCAGGATAAATGACTCATGCAAGAAATTCACGGAAAACAACTCTTAAGCACCACAGGTATTATCAAAACAAATGCATGACTCACAAGCCTTTTGCTGAGGATTCTTGTGGCTGTGAAGCAGAATGTGTGGTTGCTCCACCGCAGTCAGCGCTGCACAAGCGCATTTCCTTGTCAAGGCAGCAAAGCAAGTCCCCATGGCAGTTTTGCTGAAGGTTACACAGACAAAACAAAAGGTACACAGTCTTCCGATGCCAGCCCTGAGCCCAACAGCTCCTTCCAGCCTGGGCAACCTGCTTGCCCTCAGTCCTCATCCTGACTATCCTAGTGGCTGTCCCAGTAAAACCCATGGCTGTCCCATGAGCTCCACAGCAGCACAGAAGTTTCTGCAAACAAGGCAGGCCCCCTGTCCTTCTGGCAATGCTCTAAACGAGATGCTCCAGTGAACTCTTAAAGCACTAAGACTTCACTGTTGATATAAAACATACACAGTTTTGCTTCCTAATACGCTATAAAATAACAGCTGTCAATTAAGCACATATTTTGATATCTTCATCCAAAAGCATTATTATCTTATTAAAGTACTGCTTTGCTCTGTCACTCAGTTGCACAATGCAATAATTTCACACTACTTTCCCAGCTCCGAGTGGGAATGATCTCCGTGCCACCACCGCTGGCTCTCACCAGCCCTTCCATCTTTTTCCAGATCATAACCCAGGCCTACAGAATGGGTGGCAAGTAAATTCACACCACTGAACGTAATTTCCAACAAATTGCTCAAATAAATTGTGCTGCATCTTTTTAAGATCACCATTAACCCAAATGTTCGCTATAAAGCACCGCACGTTTGGCAGTGGTGCTCTTTAGATGTCAGGTATCATCTAAAATGATGCCCAGCAGATTTCTTCTAAAAATATGCCACTTAAAAAATGATGCCACAAATGCTAACTGCTGTGCTGCAAATGTATCAAAGCAAAACAGCAGCGAAAGATGGGGGAACAAATCCCGTCTGCTAATGGCCCTGCTCTTGTCTCAGAAGGGCTGGGAAATGCAGTGCTTTACAGTGTGAGGCTCTGAGGGCAGGACTCAACTAGCTCTCTGCAAAAGTAATCTCCTGATTAAAAGGGAATGACCAAAAAATGAAGCAGCGTTGCATCAAGTACCATTTCACAGACGCTCTCCAAAAGAGATAACAGCCTAAAAAAGAATACATTAAAGAAATTAAGTCAAATAATTAGGAAGCACTCCTGGCATGTGAAGCTGGTAAAACGCTATGTTCAGACAATTTCCTTCCGTGCTGGTTGTCATTCAGCATTACCATGAAAGTATGAGAATACAAGAAATGTCTCAACTGCAGAACTACAGAAATTAATCTTAGTAGAAAATTGTTCCTATGCAACTGAATAATTAGTTTCCCTTAAGTCACTCATCCTGCTGCTGCTGCCTACATCCTGTTTTGTCTATTTCTCGTTAAATTCCTATTCAGCCATCACTGAGCTATGAGATGATAGGATTGTATAATAAACAAAATAATTAGTTTCCAAACTGGTAGTATGTTGTAACATATTTCCTGGAATACATTTGTTTTATAACTGCTGTTCTGTGTCCTCTCACAACTGTGAACACAGCTGACATGCATAAGAGGTTGAGAATATGGTGTAATTTTGCCACAAATCCAATGGATGAACCTAAATTCATGCTCATTTAGGAGAGCGAAGTGAACAAACGTTGATGCAGGTACAGGATGCTGCACCAGGTAAGTCAGTCACCCCACATGTGCATCACACACCCACTTGTGCTCAGAGGATCCCAGCACTGACTGTGGAAGCCCCTGCCAGGGCAGCCCCAGCAGCCAGGACACTGCAGGGCAGTGCAGTGCCCACCATGCACTTGTCATGGAGTAGATTTAAACACTTCCAGAAAGGCCATTTAGCTCCTTTTCTGATTCCCACCGTAGGACTCAAAATCCTGTTGATACTTGGAGTCACTGGATAATTTTCCAGTGGCCAGGAACATGCGGTAACAAGAGGTAAACTCACAATTACAGCTCAGAATCCCACAGCACTGTGTGCAGAACTTGTATGCTGCACCACAGGAAGGATGCACAAGGGAGGCAGCTCCACAGGATGGCAATGGGTGCTGGCACAGACAGACAAACACGTACTTACTCCATCAGCATGAGCTAGAGCTCAAGACCATACTGGAGGCAGGCAGGGTCGATGGCCTGCTCAGGCAGCTGCTCCCCAAGCCCAGGTCTCTACTGGCTAAGCTGAGAGAAGGGCTCTGTTAGCTTTGCCAGTAGAGAAAGCTGCCCCAAGCAAGCAATGAGCCCCATGTGGTCACCTCCAGTGGCCACCCACAGCCTGCCTCGAGCAGCGATTCAGCAGGTGCTGCCAGTCAGTCATCCCCAGGTATCACCTCCATCATTCACTCAGTTCTCCTAGGTATTGCCTCCTTCATTCAGTCTCCTTCAGCATCTCCTCCTCCAAGGGAAAAGGGAAAAAAGAACAGCTCCAAAGTGACTCCCATGGGATCCCCTATTAATAAAGTCACGTTGGTACAGAGAATTAGCTGTGTAGATGGGATATGAGAGCATGAGGGCAAGCCAGGCTCTGGTGGGAGGACAGAGGGGAGCGGCCTGGGGCTGGCATGGATGAGGATGCCAATGTGCGCTGCCAGGAAGGCATCTGTCTGTCTGCCTGTACTCCTGTCCAAGTGCTGTGCAGCCTGAGCCTGCAGGATTAAATGCCCGCAGAATGCTGCCTCAAAGGAAAAGCCATTTTGCTGTAAAAAAAGCCCTTTTTGATTTACTACATCTCCAGAAATAACAAGTCACCCTTCCCTGCCTGCCCATCACATTTGCTCCTCTGTTTTGGTGTGCCTCTCAGCATCCACCGAGCAAGGCCAGAGCTTGCTAATAAATGACACTGCTCTTTTAAAAGCTTCTTCAGCACAAGCAAGAATAGAAGAATGACCCTGCTCTAATTATGATCATTTTTGAAATCCTCTTCAACTTCCTCAGGGCTGCAAGCATTAGTTGCCTGGTTTTAATTCAATGAACTCAAAGCAACGGAGTTCATTGATGCTGCTTCATACGAAAGTTTGCTTCCATGGAGGCAGTATTAGAAAACGCAGTGCTGGATCCCAGGAGAATATTAAACATTTAATATACCAGCAAGTCTATCATTATATAAAAATGCTGTATGAAGGATAAGCCACTGAGCTAAAAAGCATGTGAGAGCTCTGCAGGCTGCTGTTGTGCACTGCAAACGTGGGCATTGAACAAGCCAGGATGCAAGACCTTTTCCTTCCTTTTACTACTACTCAGTGGCTTTTGCTATACCAGAGATGAGGAGCTGAGGAACTCCCTAGGTAGCTAGCTGCATGCAACTCATATTAATGGAATGCAGCAGTAATTTGCAGCGATTGTCCAAAACCGTGATTTACTGAAAATGCTGTTATTGTTGATCTTTGACCAAAGCTGAAGCATTTTTGTAACGGAGAAATAGAAGTTATCGTTCCTTAAGGAACTGACTTTACTATCACTAGCCACTATAAAAATTAATCTCAATTTTTTTTATATAAAACTGTATTTGAAAGTAAATATCCCGGTAATTCCTGTACCCAAGGTGACTAACAACATCCAACCCATTCTAGCTATTGCTTCTCTTTACCAGCTTAAGGATGTCAGCTGGCAACACCAGTTAGCTCCTCCAGTACAGGATCTCCTTTGAGCATCTCAGGGAGTGTGGCTCAGGCACAGGCTGCCTGGCACAGGGGAGGCTTCAGCCCATGAACATGCCACATGCCTCTGAAGCCAGGATTTTAATCCATATTCTAAAAGCACAGCAAACACAAGTGTAGTGCTCCTATGTGCAGAAGGCTGGTCACTGTCATACACAGGTGACTCTGAGCAAAGCTACCCAAACCTTTCCTTAAGATTAATTTCCACTTCAGTGCATCATTTCAATGCCCTTCACTGCTGCAAACAACATCTCTTGCAAGCTCCAGTTCCTTATATGTTGCTGTTATTGCTATTACCTTGCCACTAATGGATGATTCCCGTCATTGCTTAAGTTTTCAGTAGAGCAACAAAATTGAAATTAAATTCCTCGGTAATTCCTGCACTAAGATGACCGATAATACCCAGCTACTGCCATTGCTGTGGTCATTGCTGAGCCCTTACCTTGTGACCCCACGCTGGGCCAGCAGCCCCCCTACAGCAGAGGAAGCAGCTCAGTTCTGAGACCAGCCTCAGCTCTGAGGCCGCCTAGCACAGCAGCCCATGTCTGCAGAGAGCCCCAGGCTGGGGACCAGCCCCAGCAGAGCATGGGGGAAGGAGCCATCCTCAGTGGACAAGGTCTCTCAGAAGTAAGTCTAAGCCAACCTATGTCACAGAGGAGTGAAGCTCTGTGCTTAGGGCTGTGGTCTGGTCCTGCCAGCACAGGGCTTGCTATCTGTTAGTTCAGTGAGGTTCGCAGGCTTGACCAAAAACTGCTGCCACCATTGAACATGGCTGTTTCTTTACAAGAGCTACTGGGCAAGTGAATGGCTTTTTTTTTCCCCCATCGCAATGATTCGGATGGTTTTGATCAGTGTTTTTGTCCTTGGCGAGCACAATAACAGCCTTGCCGATTACTCTCCACTAAGGTACCCGATTGTGGTGACATTGAGGCTGACCTTGGAGTCACCTCCCCCGCTGCCGCACTCTCCTTTGTCGTACCACCATTTGTTTTTCAATTTGTCCAAGAGGCCTTGCTCATTCAGTTTTAATACTGCCAGGTTAACAGCATTTCTTGAAACGATAAAACATAACTTGTAAGAAAAATGCACAAATGCTTAGGAAATCGTAACGTATAAAAAAAGGAGCACAAGAGGACAAATTGGCTAAAATTTCACAGAACGTGGAGCTATAAAAATGTTTGTACAGCAAATACAGGGTTAAATATTGGAAGGTGGCATGGAGGATAACATTTGCTCAAAACTGAAGTGTGCGGGATGGGGAAATCGTCTTTGAGAAAAAAAGTAACAAGAACACCACATCATGCAGTTAACATTCGTCACGTATGGCAGGTTAACTCGGCTTTTACCATTTAAATTGAAAAAGCCATCGAACTGTAAAATTAAAACAGCAACAAACAATCAGAAAGGACAACACGAAGAGAGCACTAAAAAAAAAAAAGGATGCATTAAATAAACGAAACCGTAATTTACCGTCTTATTTAACTCCATGGAATATTGAAGATTTTTAAACTTTAAAAGTTACCTCAAAATCCACAAGAAAGAAAATGACAACACAATACATCAGGGTAGGTGGAATACTATAACAACATGGATATTGTTATATTATTCCACCCACCTTAATGCTGAGCCTTTGGGGGTGGCTACCCCGTAGCCCTTGGAATCCAGGTTCCCTCCAACTTTCATGGTGTCGCAGGGCTTGCGCTGCTCGATGTACTCGTTCATCGTCGACTCCAGCAGGAAGGCAAACTTCCCCTTGGACTTGCGCACCCTCGCCACCCCATCCGCCGTGGTTTTGGTGAACACGGAGGGCTCGGCCGACTTCATGTAAGACCACATTTTCTCGTAGACGGCAATTTTTGATCTCTGGCAGAGAGGAAAGGAGGGAGGTGAAGGGAGGTCAGGTCAGCAGAATAAAAATGCTGCTCCAGCTGTCCTTCTGCAGGGGTCTGTACGCATTCTGCCAGCCAAAGGGAGGCTGCTTGACCCAGCATGGCCAGTGTTGGCAAAGGAAACCTCTCCTTCGCACACCAATCCTCAGCACTGGCTTTTGGGCTCACTCAGAGTTAGGAAATGCCAACATTTGCTTACTGAAAATTCCCAGCAAGGCACAAGCCTGCTTTTCACAACAGCAGTGGAAAGTTCATAATACAGTACATGAAGCAGACCTTATGATGCTCAAACGAGAGCAATCAAAAAACCCCTTCTTCATAATCAAACTTTTCAAATTCAGTTTCACATTCCCCTAAAAGATCACAAATGCAAACGTTAGGAATGAGCTGAGAAAATTCCTAGTTAACTGCTTGTGTGTCATGTACATACTACCTCTGTTTTTTCAGGTTTCCTGGTTTTGAGACTGAGCCAGTGCTGACAGCCTCCAGCTCAGCACACAGGCTTTGTGAAGCTGGAAAAGCACAGAAATGTATTGCTTCCTTCATCCTCACCCCCTCCAGAGGGATTTAAACCACCCTCAGATGTTAAAGCCACCTCAAGACTCTTAAGCATTGCTATCTGGCACTGCCAGTTAAAACTTTCCTGCTTGGTCGATAGAAGGCAGTAATGCTTACTGTATTGCTCTGAAGTCTGGAAATTCCAAGGATTTATACAAGGCTTTCAGCCCAAGCTGTGGTTATCTTGAATTTATGCCTCCTACTCCTTGCCAGTTTCCTGTCCACAGCCTTCCTTGCAGAACAGGACTGAAGCACGCAGTAGCTAAATCGAGCTCAAATTTAACAAACTTGTGGCAGAAGACCGTTAATGTCCATCAGTTTGATGATTGAGACACGTTTCCTTTGCATTCAGACCAATTTAATGTGTTTTGAATAATGCAATGCCTAACAACCAGCCCGCAAACATTTCATGGGAAGTAAATCCTGCCGTCACCGTTCCTCAGACTAAAACACCAGCTAGCATTGCTATGATGGAGTGCGAAGAGCATCGAGGGCAGGATTTTATTTTAATTATCCTTCCTGATGAGCTGAAAAATGCAAACCAATTAAAAGCAGCACCATCAACAATGGGAAATCAGAGCAACGCAATGTGGCTTCATTAGGAGCTAGCAGGCAGGGTGGGGTGCTAGAAGCAAGCCTGAGGGCTTTGAGGTGAATACCTCCAGGGCCAAGGTTGGCTGCACAGGAGCACAAGGGATGCTGGGCACTTGTGCAGCATGGGAAGGATGTCCCTACGGGGCTCTGGAAGCTGCCCACAAGTGATGACTGTCACCTCTCTGGTGCCCTAGGGGCAACGGTGTGCAGCTGTGTGAGGAGAAGAGCTGGTGGCAGCCCCTGGTGCGGGGCTAACCACGGCCAGGCCTGCCTGCTCTGCTCATGCAATTTGCTCACGCAGAAATGTAATAGAAACGGATTGCTTGGCCAACACAGGGACTGCATAAGCAGTGCTAATTCTGCTGTGTCCTACTTTCAAGGTGCTTGTCCTTACAACCTTAATCTTCTTTTAACATAAATAATACAAACGCACCTGCCCATTTGTATTTGCAACGGGCATCTAAAGGACAAAAGGAAGGTAAAAATGTGGCTTTCCTGCTTCTCTCTCTCTATCTCGTTCAGATAAAGTGGTTTGCCTTCAAAAACAGTGCATATGCTAAGTACGCTTCTGCTTGTTTTCCTCTGCAGAGCGTGCCTTTAATTACACAGATAAACCATAATTTCTTTTCCTTTTCATCTTCTAACCCACACTGGAATATGTCTTTAATAAGTTCTTTCATAGTCTTTCTAGCTGGCCTGACTACTAAAAGCAATTGCCAATACATCTGTGCATTGTTAATAATAACAGTTATCTGATGAGTGCCAACAGCGCAGTCAGAGCTGCAAATGGTCCAAACAAAGCTCCAAGGGCAAAGGGGGAACACAATCATCCATCATTCAGAAAACAAAATTCCACAATTAAAACATTTGAGATTACAGATTTCCTTTAAAATTTAACAGATAAACCAAGCTTTATAAATTGCTCCCTTGCTCTTCTGAATGATCTGGTTAATAAAAATAATTATGTTGCTATATGATCATCATTGCCCACATCTTCTTCTGCCAAGTGGGGATTTTCACAATATCTTGTTATTAGCAAATTAACTAAATGAGTACAGCAGACTGGTCTAATCTAGTGTAAGCACATAAAAACATAAACCAGTAATGCCAACACTGAGTGGGAATAGTTAAAAAAAATGCATCAGACACACAGGTTTTGGAGGACCAGAGGCTTGGTGGGTGCTGTGGCCAAGGTCCCATGGGTGGGGATGGGGCAGTGGCACCACTGCACCCCACAGCACCAGAGCTGCTCTGTGCAGCCTGAGGCCTGGGCTGGCATTTGAGAAACCTTCCAGGTTTTGCTCACCCGGGAGACCCTATTTTGCACCTTCTCCACTCAATAAAACGACCAGTTAGCTAAAGGTTGTCAAATATATGATGTGATGAAATAAAAGATGGCATTTTCAGTAAATGGTCGACTAATTTCTAATTGCCCCCCCAAAAAAAGCAACAACCAACCATATCAGAATCCCCCGTGTCACCCACCAGGGGGGCTGACAGCAGAGGTGCCTGGCATGCAAAGGATTTATGCTCCCAAGAGAGGTAAGGTTGGACAAAACTGCACTGCTGATAGGGTTCAGTGGCAGCAAAACATTTTCCTTCTCATTAAATGTTACTCTTAAAGAGATATTTAGAAAAAAAAAATGAGCTTAAAAGCGAAGATGTAAGCCAATTCAAAGCCCCTAACTGCAATAACTCCCTGCACACTCTAACTCTTCTTTCATTTCTTTGATACTGCTCTCAAGAAGTCAGTCTCACACATTTCCTTGGGATTTCAAGGGGATATTATTACCATTTTTTCCTTAAAAGCAACATTTGCAGTGTTTCATCTGGGCCTCGGGACACATTAAAGCATCCTTTCATGATTAGAACCTTACTGCAGATATAAATAGAGTGGCCCTGCTTTGTCAACAACACTGCATCCCTCCGCAAGACGCAGTGTCCTGCAGAGCCAGTCCCCATTTTTAACATCGCTTCGCCTTCCAGTTTTCCCCCCTTGTGCATGTGTTTGGCTCCTGCAGCTCAAGGAAAGGCCAAACTGGCTCAGACTGCCAGCATGTGCAGGCAGGAAGGCAGCAGATGTACCTGCTGACTGCTTCCAGCCACCCAGCTCCAGCAGTGCAGCTCTGCAGCACTCGGACCGGGCGCATTGGTTGCTCGTTGCCAAAACTGTTGTTCAAACTGCCTAATATTGCAAAACCCAACACCTCTCAGATGGTTATTTGACACTGGTTAAATTTAACTCTGAAAAATCTCTTTGTGACAGAAGCTTCTCCCATTGACCACATCACCTTCCCCCCAGAGCAGACGCCTGTCTCACACTTCTACTAAAAGTGACACTGTGTCAGCTCCTCCGCCACCGAGTGTCACAAAGCTGTTATGTTTGAAAGAAACAGTGCTTTTCCTCTATAGCTAAAGTATGTTACGGGGATGATCTCTGCCCATTCCTGAAGGTTTTTCCCTCTCTGTCACCTCCTCTGCTACTCACAGACCTTTTTCAGAATGTTCACCCCATGTGCCAGTGGAGTATTTCATTAAAATGATCAAAATGGACCTCTGTTTCTTCTGACAGGCACTGGCAAATTATTTCCCAGCAGTAAAGCTCAAAGTTTATTCACGAGTGATTTTTGGTGACAATCCAGTCATAAGCCAAATTCACCAACATCAATTTTACATTTAAAATTAATTGCATATTCTCATTTTTTTCAGTCTACATGTTTAACATTTTAGATTATGCTGATGTTACACTTCTTCAAAATTAAGAGTCTTCAAAACTAAGATATTAAGAAATCTAAATCCACTAGAGCTGTGCTATGAGAAGTGGGAGAACGTTGCATAATCAGCCAGCATTCTAACAAATGGTGCAGGTGGATGGGAGAGGAAGAAGACCCAGAAGGATGCCAGTTACAGCTGACTCAGAGTCTGTATTGCCTCAGAGCCGTGTCCAGGCCACGCAGAGTTCATACACTTTGGTGTAACCCACTACACACTGCTATGCGGTAAACACAATGTCAACGTGCAGCAGCTGTGAGCAGGGACCTGTCGCAGCACACGCTCTTCTACTTCACCAGCTCTTTATAGCTCTTTAACAAGGGAAATTTATAGCCCTAAATCAGGCAGATGTTGCTGACACAAAACACAGAGGTCCGTACTACAAACAGCACAGATCTTTAATCTGAATAATACACGCTGCCTTTAGATATATGCACACCTCACTGATAGGAATCTAAGTAGTTAAGCATGAACCTTAGCTTCATTATCATCAGTCATTGCTTTTCTTCCATGTGCGCAATTAGCTCTTTTACAGCAGCTAATGAATCCAGCAGCTTATGAACCATTAAGAAGCAAGTGACTCAGCAGGAGTGAAAAAGGACCAGCCGACTGCCCTGCTACCACTCCGCTGCCTGCCTTGGGAGCACCGTGACATCCATCCATTTTGGGCAGCTGCTCCCGCTGTGACAAACCACAGCTACCCCTGCCTCGGGCTTTAGGACGAGTATAGATGAGTGCCTTCTGCTCCCCACAAATGTGACACAGAGCAACCACAGCTGCCTGGGGAAGGAGCACAGGGCAGTGGTTGGTGCCCTTGGCCAAAGGCCAGCTCTGGAGCACACGGAGGCTGGCCTAGCCTGCCACATCAGGAATACAAACATGATAAACACCGTTACTAAGGTGCCTCTGCCTGAGATTTCCAAGCTTTTCACAAAGAAGGAAAAAATAGGTCTCAGAGAAGGCCTGAGGGCACATTAGTTCCCTTTCCAGCTGCATACGGGAAGGCAGGGATGTCACTTACTGAAGGTCATAGGGCACAGCCTAATAGAT